CCCCAGAGAGAGATTGTAATTGTTACTGGTATTGTGGTAAGGGATTATTCTTCGTGGCTTGGCTTATTGGCGCGCTCAGAAATGGTTTGGTAATCTTTTCCCACTGTCTAGACTCAGACTCCTGTTATATCGTGCCTAAGCTTAAAAGCAGTCCTCAGTAGAGATGGACCCTTACACTGGTGATTACTCGCAGTCCCGATCCATAGAACTACCCCCGATAGGCTTAGCTGGATTAAGACCTGGTAGTTTGGACAGCAAAGCCATTCTTGATGGCAGACCTCATGAATGTGCTCAAGAGGTCTACCCAAATCGGTGGAACTCCCTTCTCACCTTCTCACGTTAACAGCTCCAACGTGTTGCTATTCCTGACTGGTTTGTAGCAGTGTTTCTAGCTTTCTATCCGTGTAGGAAGACCGGTATTACCACCCTCGCTCTTTCTTCTTTTTCATCTTTGTTAATAGCTCTTCGAATATTCAAGTCCAGCCTTTGAACTGAGAAGAGTCAGTGCAAGGTTGGGCCGATCCTCTCTTTGAAAGAAAGGGGTAACAGGCTTCGACTGAAAATCCTGATCCAGCTCTTTGTCCTTTGGCCTTGTCTGGACCAGAACAGTTCTTGTCCTCCACCTCCTATAATAATCAAGAAAGCTTTTATCCTTCCTGCCTTAAAGCTCTCCAAGTCCACGCAGCCAAACTCATCAATACCTGTCATCTGTTTTGAAGTCTTGAGAAAAGTAGTCTGTAGCTTGACCCAATCTCTCTGTGTCTCCGTATTCAAACCATCATACCATCTCCTGTAATTCTTGTGCCAGTGTCTGAGGAAATGCCCTGTAAGACATCTTCCTCAATTATAAAATGGTTCATTTGGGCGACCCGGAATGACCAGATTATTGGGATCGCGGGTCATTGTCTCCTTAAAAATAATGTAAAATCCTTGAAGTCTTGAATGAAGTAGAACTTGTTGGATGCAAGACCATATCAACCACGTGTGGAAATTGGTGACTGGGTCCTTCTCATTTTGCAATAGAACAGTTTCTCCACTTTATCCTTCAGCTTTGCAAACTGCTTTAATTAGATAATTTCTCAACTGGAAACGACATTACCAGCAGAGGCTTGGTTACCCGAGGTGGGTTCTAGAATTTCCTTTCTCACCATAGGTTGATTGCTTGAAGCAGGAGGAACCTGGTTCTCATGCCTCTCTTGGGTGAAGGCAGCAGCTATTATCTCAGGTAATGGTCCTTTAGCTGGGCTGGAGGAAAACCAGTCCCCATTCACAGTGGTTGTCAGCCATCTCTACAAATCTGATCAGAACTGAATCCGATGAAACTGAAATGAACCACGAGGGCTAAACCGGAGCAGGCTCGGGATTGGGGACAATCTGACCAAACGTTGACCAGGGCGTTGGTGGCCAAGCTCTTGAAGTGATTTCCCCGGGAGGGAATCAATTCTGACTGATAGATAGGAAATACCTGAGTTAAAAGTAGGTTCGCTGTATGCATGAAGAATAACAGCACATAGAATGAGGATGGCAGTTCTATGTGCTAAATGATGGCATGAAATAGATCTCGATTTCAATGACTGGACCAAAATTCGGTATGGATAACAATAGCAATAATTTATTTCGTACTCTAACACATTTCTGGCATTTATCTGTCGTCGACCATCCTTTTGATTTTACAGTCGGTTATTTTCTCTCAAGTCCCTAAATTTTTGCCTGGAATGAAAAGGATTTCCAGCGGGATACTGTTTTTGTTTATTTTTTTTGTCTCCTTAACTTTTTGCCTTGAACATATGGTCCAACCAGGATCTTATTTCGATTAATTACAATGTTTGTAATCCACGCTTAACTTTCAGATAATGCGAAAAAATGTGAAAATACAAAGGAATCGCAACCCCCTTATACCTCCCTTTTCTTTTGGGTATAAATTCACTATAAAACGTTGCATTATGTTATTCAAAACGAATTATGAGGTCCAGTCTCAAAATCAAAGGTCCAAACCGTCCATACTGAGTATTAGCTCTTTATCAATGGCATGGCTGAAACATAAAAAAGTAATTCGTGGTGCATGAATGTCAGCATCAGGGTGGCAGTTTAATAACATATACAGGGGGAATGGGAGTTGGGAAATGCATGCACTTCCAACCTTATCCTCTCCACACACGAGTTCCGTTGGTCAAAGTTTCGGACTCTGGTTTCCTAAGGATTTGGGTCTAATCTCGACAACCAACATGGGGTTTGAGATTGAACGATAGAAATCTGATCGGAAATGAATGTGGTATAAAACAGCAAATATGACAGGTGTTCTTAAGGGGAAGTAAACTAAGGCTTTTGACTACATGGGCTTTAGTCCTTATAGGCTTATTATAAAAGTCAGGGTCCGCAAACAAGGATTCGGGCTTTTTTATGGGCCTTACTCCTTTTCGACGCACCACTTAAGGTACTAGGCTTGTGGTTTGGTAAATTGGTTAATATCTCGTGGATGTGCCTAAACGCGAGGTTTAGGCCTGGATCACCTCCGAACTAAACAATGATACCGAGGGATAATATGGGTAAGAAAGTGTGAGAAAAGAAAGAATGCAGAATGAATGCAGTTAACGCTTAGAAAGCGAATAAACAAAGCACGGACGATTAAAGAATTTTCCAACGGCTTTCTAACCAATTTTATTTAGAAAATGTAGGCTTTAGAGTTCAATTCCTATTTGCAACCATCTAGTTAAAAAACTGGGGATTAGTGTGATGCAGTTCCCCCAGTGAAGTCGCCAAACTGTTTCGTCTCCGCCCCCGAGCGACCGAAAAACGTCTCTTTTTATTTTTAATTTGGAAAATGATCTTTATTTTTAACAAGTAATGGACAAACACTTTTTGGATACGATGGCCGATAAATCGGTCTTTGTAAGACATTTTGAGTCGCCACCCATTTTCATGGCGAATGGGCGTTTCCATTTTAAAAAAGTGAACTTCATTTAACCCAATTTTATTTAAGGCTAAATTATTTTAAAGAACTGGTCAGGCGCACCGAGTGCGATTCTGGGTAAGGGAATTGGATACGCTCGGCCCGTTGGACACCGACGCCGGGAAAAAACTGGGCCTCTTTTAACCTACAATTTCTAATTTTTATTTAGAAAAGCCAAAATTATTTATTCAAACCGCAACCCGAATAAGAATCCAAAATTAGAATTCTCTATAATGGAAAATTATTTAATCGTCCCAAACAAGTTTTCAATCATTGCATTCATAATCATTCAAGAAACCATTCAAACCCAAAGCAGTTAAGTCAAGTAAACAAAAGAACCCGCTCTTTGCCTTAATGGTTAAAGGCGGGCCACAAAACCAAACCTACAAACATTACATCTACCCAATTTGAATCCAAAAACCCTAAAACCGCGAAATCATACATAATTATATATTAATACACTAAACTTGATTAAACTGCAAATCTACCCACAATTGGTTGTCTCTTGACTTAATTAAAAGAGTTTGAATATTTATTTAATTGTATGTAAATTAATTAAGTTTTTAAAACGAAACAAAAATTGGCTTCTGGAACCCTAGAACATCGCGTCACGCAGCTGTTCTTAGAAGAACAGTTGCGTGACGGATCAAGTAGCTTTGCGGTCCAGCAGCTATTCATAAATTTGGAACACTTCCAGATCCCGTCAACCGTTTATTTCATATCCATAATTAAAACATAAATATTAAACAAAAAAATAAAAATTATGAGTATGAAACAGCCTTCTGTAACGCAACCCTTAGATCCGTTACAAAATCTAATAGCTGCGGGACGTCGAACTAATCTGGGTAAAGCAACTGTGTTTGGACACAAACAGTTTCGTCAATCGCAACTGCCAGGTCGTGACGGAACTACTGGCTGCGTGACGCAACTGGCTCCCTGGTCCCGTATTACTTTTCAAACAAACCCTTTTTACGTTTCCTTTTTATTTAAAACATGCTTTTAATACAATCTGAAAAAATCCAAAGAGTGGGCAGATACCGTTTAACTAAGATTACACTAACTAAAACAACCAAATAAAATTAAATAATAATGAATAAACAACTAAAAATACCAAGAAGTCTTAAGGGATTACCTAACCCTCAAGATTGAGGATTATAAATAATCTGAACGCCTTAAAGAATGAATTTCAGGGTTCCAGAAGGCCTTTGTTCACCAGGTTTTCAACACCCACCTCCTTCTCTCTTCTCTTTTTTCTCTTCCTCTTTTTATGATTTTCTATTTTAATTTTATTAATCCTAATTGCTGTTTCTTA